TTAATAAATGTTCCCTGAATTCTTACTTAGGACGCAATTTTAGTTAGTGCAGTAGAGAATCTTTTTCTCCGCTTTGTATTTTCTTTTTAACCAATTAATTTAATCGTGTAAAATGTTGTTTAAATATCAATGTTGTTTAAATATCAGGAGGTAAAAAAATAATTGTTAAACCGTTTATTGTTGTTAGATCTTTTAATAAATGTTCTCTGAATTCTTAGTCTATTAATCACTTACGACACAATTTTAGTTAATATAATGGAGAACCTCTTTTTTAGTTTTGTGGTTTTCAATTACATCATGTTTAAAATGTTTTTAAATATTCGATTAGCGTAGAAGTAAAGAAATAATTACGAGTTTCTTACTGTTAGAACTTTTAGTAAATCATTCTCATCTCCTACAATTTTAGTTAATACTTTGCTTTGTGGTTTCTAATTCTGAAATCGTGTAGTATAATTTTAAAAACATCGACGAATAAATTTGCACGTGATATTGGTATTCGTGATAAAAGGATTTTGTTTAATCAGTGAATTTCATACTAAATGACGAAGCGTTCTTAATCCCTCCGATAGATCACGAGAAGACGTACAAGGATTCGAATCAACATCGTCGGGGCATCGATTCGTATCTAACTGTACATTGTTCCACAAGATAGTTCAAGCATGTTGAATACCGCACTATTAATTACGTTACCATCAATTAGGTTAACTTAGAGGAAGAGCATTTAATCTAGGCGAAAATCGTTCAATATATATATTCTACTCTATAAATATATATATTAATATTAACTATAATATATAATAATATACATATTTAGAAAATTTTATTATAAACTTTTGACCAACCTATATATATTATCTTATAAAAATATATATATATATGTATATAAATTTATATTATAATTATTATGTATTATATATAAATTAATATGTAAAATATATATATATAAATTTATTATATATTTATATATATATATATGTAAATTTATATATCTTATCTTATAAATTTATATATATATATTTTACATATTAATTTATATATAATACAGAATAATTTATCATAATAATTTATATATAAACTGTTGCACATTCAATTTTAACGCAGTTGAGACTTTTTTTTTACAAATTATTACTTTTCTGCCACTTGGCAACAACGGAAATTGCAGATACGCCCTTTTGATTCAACAAAATGAATAAAGATTCTCTCACTTGTTCGACTCCATCCACCTCGCTTGTTCTCTCTTTCTCTCTCTCTCTCTCTCTCTCTCTCTCTCTCTCTCTCTCTCTCTCTCTCTCTCCCGTTTACCCTCTTATCCACCCTTGATCGTTGGCACTCCCGTTTATATCATCGACACGATAGTGAAACTTACACTGCCATTCGGGGGATGATCCGGGGCACGATCGCCTGGAATGGGAGAATGATGGGTATGGCTGGGACATCGAACACCTGGAAGCTAATGGTGTACAGCCTCTCCCTAGCCAGCCGCTAACTATGGCGTTGCAACGCTCGCGAACGCTTGTACGCCGTTTATAGCGACCATTTGTAAAGGCCAAGCCGGGAAAACGTTGGGAAACGAACCTGTCCTGAACGTGACTGAATTCCCTTCGCGTCTCTGCCAAATATTTCCGACGTTCTACGACCCTACCGAGCTACTGAGATAATAAATCGCGTTGCACGCGTATACATACAAGCGTTTTGCCGTACAAGTTAACAGGTCGGTCGTCACGGCCGTGCCAACCGAGGTAGAATTGAATCCTCAAACAGGATGTTTCGCGACCTTATTCCAGTCCGTCTAGCGGAAAAAAGCATCAGTTGTTTGATTTAGATTTATTCTACACTGTTCGGCGAATTAATTATTAATTATCATTTCTCTTGCGGATAGTGGAACTCTCTCGAAGAATGGGAAAAATGGCTCGATGTGTTAGAGGTTCGTGTCTTTGGTCATAAAGCATGTTGTAGAGTAGAATCTCGTTTATTGGAATATCCATTACCCAAACTCTATCATCCCCATTAGCTGTTCGGTGCATTTTGTGCTACGTAGTTCATGCGCGGTATTTACTTGCTTCCGTTGAAATTATCGAAGCTAACTGTTCGAACAAAGTTTCTTGTGCATGCGAAATTTAGCACAGGGAAAGCTATTACTTTATCTTGTTGTTAAAAATCTTCTGGAATGCGTTTGGATACAATGAGAGTGAAAGATTGTCGATAATTTAAGCTGAGATGAGCTTGTAAAGAAAAAAAATCATATCGACGATCTACTTGGTCTTATTTTAACACCAGAATGGTCAAAATGACCAACTTAGAATTTTTCATAGAAATTTTATATATTTATAATAGTTTAAGACTCGAATGAATTTTAGTAAAAGAAAAGATATAAACAGAAGCTTATTTATATACAAAGTTCCCACTGGAATTTTAATGTAATCCTTTTTTACAAAATCAGTTCAAATTATCGACAATTTTTCATCGTCAATGATACAATTATGCTCTCCAGGATCAAAACTTGATTGGACTTTAATACAAAACCTTTGACATTTCAATTAACAATTTAAATATTCCGATTATTATCCATTTCCTTGCTCACCCACAAGAAAGAAAAACGTCACGAGACGAATTCGGAGATGAAAAGATTCGACGACTTCAAAAAGACAAAACCATGACACTTTTGAGACTTCGATTAATAATTAAAATATTCCGATTATTATCCATTTCCTTTCTTCTCATCCGCGGGCAGAGAGGAAACGCGAGTTGAAAATGTCACGAACGAGGCGAATTCGAAGGGAAAAAGATTCGAAGACGGGTGGCTGCTGCGTGAAAGTCTCAAAAGAATCCGAGGAACCGAGTGTACAGCTTTTTAGATACTGCATAAATATCGAACGGGCCCGGAAAATGGTAAACTCCTGTCCGTTCGCAGCTCGGGGATGCTGTCAGCACCTCGGTCAGAACTTTAACGATCAACTCTGACCCGGGACGATGGACAAAAGGGAATAGAGGCTGTTTTACATAGTAAAGACCAGGAAAGACTACCATCGCCGCGACCCAACCGGATTCTTAAAGAGGGATATTCGCTTCTGAGGTAAAGAGAGGTTATTTCGTGAAACGCGGACGCGAGGCGCTCCAGTTTCGTTTTCTTCTCACGTTATTTTCATCTTTCCCTGGCTACCTGGTTGAAAATATGCCAAGTATTGGCAAATTCTTGTCTATCATAACGAGTCTATTATTTCGAAGTGGCCTTGCCTCGTGAAAACAACCGAAATATACGTACCTACTCAGAGATTCAATCGAATATTTCATTATTTCTGTAGTATCGGTTCTCGGTTATTATAATTAATCTGTAATATTATAATTTTAGTTAGTTTAAATAGTTTAGTATGTTTAAATATAACAGATGGCCTGTCGATCATAGAAATTGTAGCGACCTCTACTTCGAAGAATTTAGATCAACGACATCTATGTTCCATCGAGATGTGTATTTAATATAAATAATAGAATATTTAAAAATAGCTATTAATTTTATTATCACCATAGAAATGTTTACTGA